CCAATCTTATGTTTGCACAAGGGAGATGACAGGTTTCCCCGTCTTTTTAACCAGGTGCTCAATTCAACACTTAGAGTTCTTCAGGTTTCTCCTATATACGTTGCGCCAATTTAAGCACTCTAGTTGATAAACGATGTCTTCTTTTGTCACCTAGTTTCCCGTAAGGGCAGACCAATCTTCTGATATGCATACAATGTCATGCAATCTATACCTGATCAACCGTTTTTTGATGTTGATACTAGCCGTGTTGACCGGCACTATCTCATTAATGAGATATCGCACGGACAATGCTAGAAGTGGGTGGATCTACACCAGAAAACGAGTAGGAACAACAAAAATGAACGCGTGACAATATCGAGTGATCGCTTGCCTCTTATGTCATTATGCGACCTAAAACCGCACAGTATATAAAGACCTTGGCACACTGAAGAACCTCGCTGATGTCCATCATTTCCGTGCGGACTACTGACTTCACGGTGGACTAGAGGTTAGTGGATCCATTTTGGACTGTTTTTCGGCAGTTGCGCCTCGACGCGGTTCAAACGACGAAAGTCTGATGAACATGTCGTGTCGTGTAGACTAACAGATGATTTGACTGCAGTCCCTTTTCGGACTCCGAAGAAGACGATATTTGTCGAAACGTAGGGTCAATAAAGGTTCATCATAACAACCTGGTTGGCAGAACAGCACTACACATATTGGTGAATTGGATCCATGTTTAGCTGAGAGTGGCAGTGTTTCTACTATTTTACTCTCCATAAAATCCCCGCGTCAGCCACACCGTGTCACTCAAATTACAACAAATAGCCTCACGATTTTTTTTCTGTATTGTTAAGTTCCACTGTAATATCTGCCTAGTAAGTTTCCCTTTTTTCTATGCTTCATATGTACCTGTAGCTGCTTTGTTCTACTCATCTTATTAATCCCATGTTAGATGTGTATATCTTCCAAACACTTTGTAATTTTGAGAAGTCAATTTGATAACAGCCCACATCCATGATGTATCCTAAGCATTTTCTTAGAGCTTTTGCATTTTTGCTATTTGAATTTGACTCGTTGCGCAATTCTACTCAGCGGATTTTGATTACTATTGCAATAGGGGAAGCATTGAAAATGGGAACTTGTGCAGAATTTTTACGCCAGACTGGTTGAAAACTAGAACTTCCACAGATTCTTTAAAACTTTGCGGAACTTCCGAAAATGCCAGTGGTTCCGCAGCACTTTGAAATGCCAGTACTTCCGCAGGGTTTTGAATGTGTTGTTTCATATGATTTTCTCGCCATTAGGGTGCATTATCGAAAATGCCCGCAGTAGTGCAAAGAATAGTAGATAAGTCCTACAATGAATAGAGTAAGATTCAAATCTCGCTTACTTGTTCTCTTTTGCTATTGTGGTACGCATTCTTCGGAGGCTTCCGCAGTACCTCATTTGGGAACTTCCGCAGGTGACCCAGCGGAACTTTTCCAAAGTTCTGCGGAAGTTCTAAGTTGTCTGAGTATGCTTTGCGCTTTCGCGCTTCCTTCATTCTGAATAATGTTTCTATTTAGCACAAAGAGCTTTTGCTTGCAAGTGTCACTAGTGTAATAAATAATCCAGAAAAGAGATTTAAGCAGATTGTTGCCAACCCTCTACTTACCGTATCCGAATAGTTTGCGCAGGGGCTGTTTCTTTGCTGTTAGAAATTTATCTTTGAAAGATAGCAGAGAAAGAAAACCAAAACCGGGTTTCTGCAATCGTCTTTTTTTAAACACATAGGAAGGATATTGTAGACTAGGACAGTGGTTTTTGTCTTTCGCTGTGTTACAGTAGCTACCTGATAATCCTGAGTTTCAAAAAGTAAATTGCTATTGTAGCCGATCCAATTCGCCGTTAATACGAATTCGAATGGGTCGCGCAAACTTTTTTCAGGGAACGTATAGCACTATCCCATCGATCCAAGCCACTGATGGGAGAATCCTCATAAAAAACTCTCAATATTGAGAATGAAATTTCTAGAATAACATGAACAACCCAAGCAAAAGAATCTATCAAAAGAATGAATTCTTTGAATCATCTCTGACTATAGCAAAAAGTCAGCAATTTCCGAACGAATTCCAAAGTCGTTTCCCCATTTGCATTTGTTTTGTTTGGATCCACGTCAGACGGATTACATATACATCTGACATAGGGTTAAACAACAGCAATGTCATTGATGAAAGAAATTCAACATTCATTCATTTTGTTTTTGCTACATAACTTCCCACGCATTCCTTTAAGAAATGTTCTGAGAAAAACTGCAAAATTGAAAGTGAAAAAATGATTTACGGAAGGAATTACGGTATCACAAATTGTAACGTGCAAAATGCCACTTCTCTACTGAACAACAATTGTTTTACGCAAATTTTATACCAAACACCAACTGTCCATTTCTTTCATACCCTTTTGCAAAGGGCTTTTTTTTTGATTTTTGCCTCTCATCATCAAAACGCCATTTGAGAAAATGATAGTCGGATGAAAATTGACTTCCAAGAATTTTTTCCCCATAAAAAACTCACGGAACCTTCAGGATATCCGGACTTTACAATTTTATCCGGTCTTTCTCTTTCTTATCCAATCCACTTCATTGATAGCATAAAAAAGTGCTTTTGTATTGGCAAAGCAAGAGAGAATTGAGAACTCAATGACGGTTTTATAAAACTGCTATTATGTGAGATATTGTATAATCATATAGTATAACTCGTAATATTTGGCTCCTAACAGGAAGTGTAATAGGATTTGAAATCTCTCTTGTGAAAAAAGCAAATATGTGGAAGTCATAGAAAAGCATTTTAGGTTTATATTATCAAGATCTTTAAACTAAGCTTAGCAGGTTCCCTTTCACTTCAGACTTTTTGAAGGCAAAACACACTCAGACTAAGTAATTACTACCATTTTGTGCTTTATTGCTGCCGTCCACCCTTTTTCAAAAAAATTCAAATTTTTTCACGATTTACCAGCTCATTTGACTCATATGCAAATTTTTGTATAGTTTCCTACGAATTTGTTGAAACATTTTGAACATGGGTCAGTCATACCCGCCCTACGGCGTTGACGTAGATATATTACTACTAGTACGGTTACTTTTTATCATCTCCTCAGACAGTTCACCGGAATTTCCGCAGGACAAGCCAAATTTTGCAGTGTTCCGCAAAATTTTGTTTACTATTGCAAAAGTGGAAAAGTTGAAAATGAGAAATTCCATAGTTTTTTACGTCACAGTGGTTTGAAAACGAGCACTTCATCAGCACTTGTCACAGAACGGTCCCGAACTTCCGAAGAATGCCAGCGGTTCGTAGCGCTTTGAACATGCAAGTATTCCGCGATGTCCACTTCCTTTGTCGGTCAGTATTTATGAGTTTTGATGACCAGTCAAAAAACTTGCAAAACTTCGGAATAATATAATCTCTAACTCCGACAATTCACCGGAACTTCCGCAGGACAAGCTTTGCAGCGGTTTCGCAGGGCTAGAATTACAAAAGTGGGAACCTTGAAGATGGAACTTCTGCAGGATTTTCACGTTAGACTGGATGAAAAGGGAACTTCCGTAGGGCTTTATGCAAAGCGCTGCGGGAATCCCGAAAAATGCTAGCGTTTCCAAGCATTTGGCCTGCCAGTACTTCCGCAGGGTCTTAAATGTGTTATATCTTACGACTTGTCTCACCAACAATTAGAGTGTGATTGTGATTGTCGAGCTGTCATCCTTAGTGCAGAGGATAGTGAGTGAGTCTCGCTGTCAGTAGAGTAAGGTTTGATTCTTGCTTAGCTGTTTTCTGTTGCTGTCATGGTTCAAATTCTTCGAAACTTTCGCAGCACGTTCACGGAACTTCGGTAAGCCGCGAAACTTCAAACGTTCTGCGGAAGTTCCGCTCGGTTGTCTGAGAAGGCAAACTAAGGAGTCATATGCAATGAGCTTAGAGATAACTTTCTAAAATAGAGTTGAGGACAGAACGAGAAGGACTAATTTATCTTGCGCGTTGAAGCTTGCTTTAAATATACCCGAATTAGCGGCCGTAAGAAATTTCAGCTGCAAATCAGGTGATTCGCAGGAAAAGTGTGTATCACTGAAGAGGAATTCTCTGCCACGCCCCCTCCCCAAACTTTTTTGAGCTAGAAGACACTTCAAAAAAACCAAACCAGTCACTCGCACTTTCAATTACTTGTATTGACCACTTTTTTGGACGCTGATGACACCGCGAGTGGAATCTTCGCGCGCCTTTCCGACCCTTCTCCTCCCACCTTCGCTCTTCTTTTCTTCTCCTCGTCTCTCCTCCCACCTCAGCCTCCCATCTCATCCACTTCCTACGTCTACACTCTATTTATGTACATGTAGTGTTTTCCCCCGTTAATATGCTGAGTTGATTGGCAAGCGACAGGTGATTAATGTGCCACATCAACAGTTCTTCTCCATCGGCGCGGCACCACCGGATTTCCTCCGAAATGACTAGTTTCGTCCCCCCCCCCCCCTCCCTCCGTATCTGCAACCGGCACCGCCCGGATTAGTAGGCGATAGTTGCGTTTTGTCAATCATTGCGAATCTTTTCTAAAAATACACAATTTCGTTCCAAAAGCTATCCAATTACATATTCGTCTTAAAAAACCGTTACAAGAACTTTTTTCCCCTGTGTTTGACCTTCGAGCTGCTTTCAAATATTGTCATGGTTTATCGTAAAAGTAATGTAATGGGGTTATTCGTCAAGGACCTTGAGATTTCTTGCTTTTACAACATTCACTTTTCGTGTTGAATACATAACCTCAGACATTGGTATTCCAACAATTCAGTTTTATTTTATGATGGTCAACGAACCCTGGTTCCTTCAGAATTTCTCGAAACCTCTAACCTTCTAACATTTTTGTCAATTTTCGCTTTTAATCGTCAAAGTTTTTAATACTGGAATAACTCTTCTGAGCTTCTGTTATCCGCTGAAAAGTATTTTTTGAATTTTTCTCCTTTTATTCAAAATGTAGAACTTACCCTAGAGAATGGAGGAAATGGATGAATATAGTGACCACTACTCGAGCTACTCGAGTGCCACCTTATGCAATAATTACTAGGTAATTAGTCCACTTCACGTATTGTGTCTAGATTTCCTCAGTGCTCTAGATTTTTACAAGAAACTCGGCCTTTATATAAAAACTTGCCTTTTCCTTAGCATCGATATTGATGAATTTATTGTCTTTGAGTTTATTCGGTGAGCGACATACAATTCTTTTCTTATGCATTTGTTTGAAACTTCAAAATGTATTGTATGTAATGAAGATGAGGACAAAGTGACCTCTGAAGCTGTTGTTCACTATTTGAAAGCTACTGTAATATTTCAAGATGAAATTTACTTTTTTCTTGGAATTTATTACTGTTTGATTATGAACCGGTCAGGCTGAATTTGAAGATGTAACATTCTTTAATATGATCACCAGTAGTTATGATACAAACCAAATCTTTCACATCTGCTGACTGGAATGGCTGACTAATGTCGCCCGCTGGACTTCCACAAATAGGCTATTGTTCACATTTTATCAGATTACTTAAAAAGCAGTGATTTGGGCGCTTACCTATTGTAAAAATGCGCTAAAATTAGAAATCATAATGGCGCTTTTATAAATGGTACAGTAGTGGCTACCTCAGAACATTTTCCAAGGGAGGGAAGAGAAAAGGAGGGAGAACTGGACAGGGGGGGGGGGGGGTAGACAAGAAATTCTTTTGAAGCTGCCCGGTTTCGGGTATGCCCTACAGAACTTTTCCAGGTTCTTCAAATTTTTCGCATTTTTGCAGTCCTGGCATTCAAAGAAAGGGGAGTGACCCCGCGTCCAAAATCACAATAGCCGCTAAGACCCATTTTTAGAACAGGGAAATTCACTCTTGACTCCATTCCCTGCTATACGTTCGAGGGGCCACTATCATGGGGTCATCAGACCCCATGATAGTGGCCCCTCGAACGTATAGCAGGGGGTGGAGTCAAGAGTGAATTTGTTATGACGCTGCATGTTATGACGCTCCTCCCCCCCCCCTTCCACTCCAGCTCTCTCTCCACCTTTCCTTTCCAAATTTTTTGTGATGAGCACTCTTCAATTTTTCGAATACATTACTAGTACAAGAATGTATTTCAAACAATGTTATCGATATTACTGATATTATATTAGGTTGTCCCAAAAGTTCTTGCGTCGCATTTCAATGAAATCATGACTTCTTCGTATCTTATGGATTCCTTTGAAAGCGATGTTATATCAAAGGTAATCTCCGATGAATGAGCCTGGGGAAATTTGAGTGATAGAAGCAGTTGGACGAAATTCCTCGCAATTGATATTTTTCAAGCAGGGTCACGAAAATTCTACAAATATATTTGTTTGAAAGAGAACATTTTGCATATTACAGCGGCACCTTTGCCGCCATTATGAGGGAGGTCGAAAACTAGAAGCAAATGAAGACAATTACTCTTCTGTTTTGCAGTTTTTGAGCCTCAAAAAAGTTTAAAACGTCACAGCCGAGACGAAAGTCATAAGCATGGAATTTGTGACCTTTCGTCTAACTAAGCGAGTTTCGTGCTATCGAGGACAATTTTAAACTTTGTGGAAAACACAGACTAGAAAATTTGAAAATATCACAAAAACTCAAAACTGCTCTTGATTAGCACGAACTTTGCTTAGCTAAAGGTTGTAAAAGGTTGTAAAACCTATAATTATGACTATTTCGTTCTCTGGTGTGAGGTTTCTAGATTTTCCGGGCATGCTCGAAAGAAAAGGTAGCATTTCTCTTCACTTGATTCACTAACTCTCGCATTTTCTCATTTTAATTCATGGGAAAGGTAATGGGCAAAATTTTCACCTATTGTCGCATCAGTAACCAGAAATTTACGAGCAGTGAACACTCTTTATTTGCTTCTGATGCGTATGTGCTGGTTATTTACCATTCTCATACTTTACTAGTTTATTAGATACTTGGTAAACCAGTCAGTGACTTTACTCAAGTATTACTAGTTACAGTCCAACATCGGATTCTTTACGAAGAGCTATGCTAACACTTGGCGCTTGCTTTGTTGAAGGTATGGGCAAAAGTCATGTTTTTATGGGTTTCTGTCCAGAAGCATTCTTTCTGGGAAACTTAAAAGCCTCAAGTACTAATTTTTGGTTTTCATAATTAGTCTATGAATAGCGAGATGTTCCTGAACATGACAAACAGATCCTAGTGGATTCTAGCAGTAATTTCAAGCAGAAACTCGTTCTTCGTTACCCCCCTCCCCTCACCTCTTCTTCTTTTTTGTCACAATACTCCATTCAGCAAAAGTTCCGTAGCAGATCATGCGCGACATTGCCTAGGCTAGTCGATTGGAGCAGTTTTTGGCATCCGTACACGCCCATATTTTACTTTTTATTAGTGTAAAGGAAAACAAAAAATGGCTGGTGAGGTAGAGCAGCTCAAAGTAACTTTTGTATTTTTTTATACAAAAATTCGGTACGTGATATCAGTAATAAATTTTGCAATGAATTTGGAGCGCATAAGTCTTTCCAAAAATTATTTTTTCCACCCTGGTGCTTCACTCACTCCATGAGAACTTATTTTGCAGTTTAAATTGAAGCACTTTCTTTGCTAAAGCAGTTTTTTGAACATTTACAGCATCTGACGATGGTGCTGTAAAAGATTCTCAACAACTAGCCTTGAAAATAAGCGGTGAGAAATTGCCTGCAATGGAAACTTCATTTTTATTTTTGGGTGAGAGTGGAGGAAAAGGAAAATGGAGTTTTTTAGTTCTCACCTTTTCTCGTTTGCCAATATCTGGAATCTGCGTTCACGACTAGGGAACAACATCAATTTGCATGAACAGAAGAGCATAAAGTTTCCTTAGCTAAACTAGTATAATATCTATTACAAAACAAAGAAATAGCTACTGTGCAAGTATAATTGTCCAATGCAATTATATAACACTTTCATCCCTATCAACATTCGCTTGATTGTTGCAGACTTTTTCCATAAGTCGTTGAGAAACCGGTTTAAAATATAACTTGTGCCGTTTTGAGAATAATGATTTGGTGCTACTAATAAAGCTGAAACTTGCGATACATAAAGATTTTTTTTATAAATAAATTTATTCCAGTGACCCTGCCCCTCGAGAATGGATTACGAAATTTTTGAAAACTACCTGCAGATTATGGAGTGAGTGACTTTTCATAATTGTAATCAACTGAAATGATTCTTACCCTATAATTCAACCGGTCTGGCGGCTGGAAGGCGGGGCTTTGTAACCTAATCAAAGCTAAGTGATGATCAGAGAGCACGCACGCGGGAGAGACGCAGACTGCGTTGCGGGCGCGACCGACCTTAATTAGGTCACAAAGCCTTCCAATAGCCAAGCAGTTGAATCAAAGGTCACAGATCATTTCTCCATTCCACCCTCCCTCCCTCCCCCCGCTCCCTTTGTGATATGTTTTACCTAAGGTACACCTGATTTTACAAAAATGAACAAATTTACATGGTTCTGAGAAAAAATCATTCAGACACTAATTACAATGCAGACTTTCTTTTTGCACTTTCTCACATCCAGAACTTATTGAACAGCTCTATTTTTTATTTCAGGGTAGTTTTGCAAAAGAATAAAAGATGTTACCCAAAACATAAACACTTCTCTTTCGGACCTGTCCCTTATTCCTCCACTCAGGTGTTATTATTTGCGCACTTCTGAGCCTAAGTTGGTGATAAACCAGTTAGTCAATATGTATCACTCTGGATCCTATTAGACTGTCATAAACACACACTATACAGCCGTAATGGAACGCTGTTTGGTTAGGTCCAGAAAAGCAGCACAGCAGCTGCAAAGCCATCGCTTTTCTTCCGGTTCTATCGACTCTATTGCTTGTCATACGTATTTGCTCGTCAAAGACGATGTTTTCGGACAGACAACGTCGTCGATGTTTTTGTTCTGTTCTTTGTTCAACGGATCTAGCACCTTTTCCTCAAGCGCAGAAGCAGAATTTTTGGGAGAAGCTAAAGCTGCGTTTTCTTTGTTCAGCATTTTTCTACAGCTTCTTCCCTCAGATTCATTCATAGTCTGTTTGAAGCCAGAATAGACCATGCACATCGACTTTGCAGCGATTGTTGCCGTAAAAGCAAGTTGCATGCTCTTCGTGGCAGGACCATGTCTGGCGTCTCCTCATTTTACTTGGTCTCTCGCTGGCAAAATGTCAGGCTTGCGAACATCATTATGATTATTTACTTTTAATCCTAGTTGGACGAACTGCTTCTTTACAGCTTTTTCTGATAACTTCATTTATAACCTGCTTGAAGCAGGAGTAGACCCTGGGATGATGTGCATCAACTTTACAGCTATTGATTCCGTAAAAAATAGTAGTTGCATCTTTCCTGGCAGGACCATGTCTGCATCTCCTCAGCCATTGCTGTAGTTCTAGCAAAGCGGGCGTCCCAATATTTTTCACACACTCATATATATTTACTTATATCTATCCTTACATTTTTACTTATATTTTTTTATTTTGCGTCATTTCGTGCAGAACCATATGTGAATCCCCCTTGATCTGCACGACCTCTGGGCGCAAAATACCAGCGCTGCAGTTCTAGCGAAACGCACGTAGATATATTCATATTTGTTTATTTTGATTTATGATTATATTTTTTGTTCATTTCTTATTTTATTTCGTGGCAGGACCATGTCTGGCCTCTCCTCATTCTAACTGATCTCTCGCTGGTCAAATGCCAGTGCTTCATGCTTGCTATCATGAATGTTTCTGTCAATTCCCGTTTGGAAAAACTGTATGAATTTGCTGAATTTGCTACAGTTCCCCATTTTGGCTTACAGCCAGCGCATTTTCAGCGCCCGTATAAGCCGCACATTGTTGCCGACGCCGCACAATCCGCCGGCGCAATTCCGCGGCTATTGCGCGCGGCTCAGTTGAGCAATTTTTGGATTAGGCGTTGGATCAACCGACGGTAGCGTCGTCGCGGACAGGTTTCCGCACGCGCTCTACCGCTTTCGGAGAGTTGACTTTATATGCACATTGACGTGTGTTCTTTGCGCTGCGTCTAAGAGAGCTAGAAGGCGCTTATTTCCAAACGAACACGCTCGCGTCGCTCCCGACTTGTTCTTCTTGGTGTTTATTTACGCACAATCGTAAAACTAACGAAAACTAGCGGATACGCGGCAGTTCTTTGGCGCCTTATTTGGTGGTGTAAGCTCCGTTTTGCGAATTTGCAAACTTTCCGCAATGTTATGTCCGAAACTTTCGTAGGTCAATTTGCCGGAAATTCATTTTTCATTATTTATTTGAGTAATTATTCAATTATTCACCTGGAGACAAAATCAGCAAATCTTTTGAAGAAAAAAATTCGCGCACAGAAAGTTATCAAACGAATTTTTCGGCTGACCATCTGATTACCAGTATACTTTTTTCAACTAAAAATTCCCGTTTCACTGCGCATCAAAAATCTTTTAAAGGTCACGCCTCATTTGCTCAAAAATTCCCGTTTCGCTTTGCTTACAAAAGCACTTTGATCGCCTTGATGGACGTTGAATACAGTTCTGCAGAGTCCTCTTATTGTTAGTCTAGAAAGCATTGCGTTGTTGTTGTTTTTTTACTTTCTCAAAATCCTCATTCCTATTCTTTTCTCTATGTTGGCAAAAACAGTTTCATCTTCTTGCATTTCTAAAATACTTTTGGAAAAATAATTGTTTGAAAAACTAATTTCCGTTTTTTCTTGCTTTGAGAAGAAATGTCGTTTGTTTTCCTGTTTAATCGAAATTTCCCGTTTCCTTTTGCTCTGAAAAGCGAAAACAGAAAACCTCGTCAGTTCTTTGTGCTTCCTTTTGTGCTAGGCAGTCTCGATCTACTTTTTCTGCCCAATTCCGCATATTTACACTCCGGAATATTTTTGATGCATTACCATCCGTAATGATTTATGCAAAGACAATGTTGACGCTGCTGGTGATAAATTGATCAGAATTTATTTCCACTGCAATAATGGCTGTTTCGCTTTCTTTTCTCATCACCATTTAAGAATCTTAAAAAGAATTTGAACTGGAACCGTCAAGCTATAAATTTTCGTTCCCCAGCATTTAGCGCTTACCATAAACTTACCAGGTATCTATAAATACGAAATAGGAAATTGAACTGTCCAAGCACTTTGCTCCTTTGTTTTTTTTTGCTGTTCTCTGTATGCATACATTGGTAGATTAGTAAGAATCCGACAAAAATCTAAAATAGCTCAACTGTGGTTTTCTGCTCCAAAATGTTGCAAGATAGAATATGTGAACGGAGTGGAAAAAAACTTTGCGAAAAAATTACTCTAGAAACTCGAGAAGGGTCATTAAACTCTTTTTTCAACTCGCTGGGATCTTCCTCATTTCATAATTTACTTCCTCTACTTATTATTATTATTATCATCTCATTATTTTTGGTTTCTAAGGTTATAATAGTACTATCCAATTTTCCTTGTCTTTCAAAATAGGTGCGTTCATTATTTTATTATTTTTTGGCTTCTATTGTTGTTATAATATATTTGATATTTCTCAAGTCTTTCAATTACAATAGCCATCGCCTGGTTTATTGGAGTAGGAAAAACATCCTTATTAACATCTGTTCATTATTTATTGATTGTCTTTTTATTTCAGTTGAGTAACATTTGTAAAGCTTTTTTACTTTGATATAGTCATGCCTCAAAGTATAAGATGGTGTGGACAAAGGGAAAGGGGTATGAATAATCTTTACAAAAACATTTTTCAAAAAACCTGAAGGAATTTCCCGAACTGGATTTGCCAAAAATGAGGGAAAAAATAAAAGCGTCAAATTTCCCGTTTCACTTGGTGCTTATAAGAAATGCGAACGTTGGCATTTAGTGCTTCTGAGGGCATTGCAGCTATTGCAATTTACTATTAATAGTTGAGTGAGTAGGGGGAAGTGGCCGAATTTTAGTGCTCTTCCCCCCCCCCCTTCCCACCCACCAGGTTTATTTTCCAGGCCCGATACTGCTGAGCCACGCTGATTTGTGGGCGAGAAATATCTGCAGTCCGAACCTGGACCTCCTCTCAAATTTGACCCTTGACTGCTCCATGCCCTCAAAATTGTCCAAAGCCAGCAGTTAAATCGGGATTGACCTCTCGTCGAGCACCATTACACCTCAATGGTCCCTATTTAGTATGGGCATTTCTGTGGCCGGCAAATCCTTTGATGAAAATTCCTCTCAAAGTGAAGGTCAAGCGCGGAGCTCTGTGAGACTGACGCGCTGGCTTTCCGCACCTGCTGCGCGCTTTGTCCTCCCCGTAAGCGGACTGGGCGGGGGCCCCTTGTGCCTTTGATGTGCGGGTGCGGGGAAAAAAGACGACGACGTGATCTGACTGGTCTCATACTGCTCATCAGCTGTCGCTTATCTGATCCGTTCTGAATGCCGCTCAACAGTTCTGAGTTATTTATGTTGAAAGCTCCCGGATTTTTGCCTAACCGTCTTCTTTTTAGCCCTCTTCCCCCTCTATTATTATTTCCACAAAAAATGTATCTATTCTCTAGTCATTCAAAACAATCCAAGTTCACCTTTTGCATCGATTTCATTTTTTTTAATCCTGTTCTCAGACAACTGACCGGAACTTCCGCAGAACGTTTGGAAAAGTTCCGCCGGATCACCTGCGGAAGTTCTGTAAGCGTGCTGCAGAAGTTCCGAAAAATGCAAATCACAGCAGCAAGAGAGAATACCTAAGAGAGATTGAACCTTACTCTATTGACTCCAAGACTCACTCACTATCCTCTGCACTACGAAACATGTTTGAAAAAGTATTCCACAACACATTCAAAGTCTTATGGAAGTATGGCAGGCCAAAGTGCCGCGGAACCACTGGCATTAAATCCCGCAGGTTTTTTGAAACAATTCCTGCGGAAGTTTCCCTTTTCAATCAATCTGACGTGAGAATCCCGCTGAAGCTCCCATTTCCACTTTTGCAATAGTGAAGAAAATCCTGCGGAAGCTGCAAAATTTTCTTGCCCTGCGGAAGTTCCGGTGAATTGTCTGAATTAGAGAAAGGTTTGCTTTACCCTCCATTAGTATCACTTATTTAAAATCAGTACACTTTCTGTCTTCTCATCCCTCCCTCTCCCCCTCCTTCGACTCCATCGTTCTCCCATAGAACAATCGCATTATACTCGAGGTTCTCTTTG